GTTGGACGACATTGGCATTTTGTCAGTTGTGGTAATAACTCCACTTGTGGAAGGTTCTGGATCATCTGGATTATCCCTGGGAATGAGGATGGCGCTTCTAGTCAGAAAAATCAGTGAGAGTTGTCTGTATGGTCCTTTTCTGTTTTCCTTCATACATTTCACGGTAACATCTTGCAGCTTCCCGAATCTGCCTATTCGACTTCAGCAAAGCAATCAGCGTTTGAGTCCATGTTTTCAGGCAACTGAAGCCCCTGATTTAGTTTAGAAAACTAAATCTATACAGCAGTGTTTTGAGCGGTAAATCATAAAATTGAACATCTGTGGGTGAACATCTGAGAACGATAACATCAGCAAATACACGCTGCAACATTGTATGTAGTACATATTACTAATGATAAGATGTACAAAAAAAAAAACTGGACGGTCGTAAGTGCGGTTTGTCATACCTTGAATATGTCGTAAGATGGGGATTGCCTGCATATGCCCACAGTCTTCCATGTCCCTGCTAACCTTCCCTTTAACAAGATTTTAGCAGTTTCCTTTAACAAAAAATGAGGAGCATTTTTAGGGGACTGTATACCAGTAATTAGGTCCCTAGGTATTGCAAACGGTTAAGTGCTCAACTCCTAGCTTAGAGATTGGCGGTTCGAGCCCACCCAGAACCACCTCAGAAAACAGGCCTAGAGATCTTCTTTGAAAAGGTCACAGCCTTGAAAACTCTATAAAGCAGTTCTATTCTGCACAACAACTCTGTAGCACATGGAATCGCCATGAGTCAGAATCAATTTGATAGCAACTAACAGCAACAATATACCAGTAATTATAAAATTCGACAAGATTTCAAGATAAAAGTGATGATGTGTGTTGCAGGTAGTATTATGAGTTAATCTGTATCAAAATATAAAACATGAGACGTAGAAATACCAGGCTAAATGTTGGTGTCTTCATTGTTCAGACTTATGGTACGTTACAGTAATACCTATTGAAGGTGGTTTCAAGGTGAAGCATTAACAGGAAGTAAGCAATTTCCTTTTATTCATTAAAAAATAAAGGGTGGTAGTAGTTGGCTGATGTACATGAAAGAACATTATAACTTGTATTACCCCTGAATTGACGTCAGCTTCCTAAATTTAAAATGCTGACTGAACATGTGTGCGTGTGTGGGGATGGAATGCAAAAAAAAAAAAAAAAAAAAAAGTTCTGCCTGCTTTGTTAATCACATAGAATAAATAACAACCCTTAGCTCTCTAGTGACTTCAAGGCTATAATTCACCCTCGAAGCTCCCCTCTTGTTTTAGAAACCACTTAAACTGGGTTCTCTTAGTCCCGTCTCGTATCAACAAAAGAATTTAAGTAATGCCCTGCTTATAATCACTCCACATAGCCCTTCTCTGCTTCCTGTTTGAGACCTAATTTATTTATCAGAATGGCCTGAATTCTTGTCTACATTTTTAAGAGTTCTTTATGTGAACACACTTCAAGCACGGGTTACTCTGTGTTGTTGTTGTTGTTGTTGATGTTAGGTGCCATCGAGTTGGTTCTCAGGCATAGCGACCACACGTACAACCGAACGAAACCCTGCCCGGTCCTGCCCCATCCTCACAGCCATTGTTATGTTTGAGCCCCTCGTTGCAGCCACTGTGTCAGTCCATCTCATTGAGGGGCTTCCTATTTTTCGATGACCGTCTACTTTACGAAGCATGATGTTCTTCTCCAGGGACTGGTCCCTTCTGATAACACGTCCAAAGTACGTGAGACAGTCTTGCCATCCTCGCTTTCAAGGAGCGTTCAGGCTGTACTTCTTCCAGGACAGATTTGTTCATTCTTCTGGCAGTCCATGGTATGTTCAGTATTCTTTGCCAACACCGTGCTTCAAAGGTGTCGATTCTTCTTTGGTCTTCCTTACTCATTGTCCAGCTTTCACATGCATATGATGCAACTGAAAATATCAGTCACTTGGGTAAGGTGCATCTTACTCCTCAAAGTGCCATCTTTGCTACTGAACACTTTAAAGAGGTCTTTCGCGGCAAATTTGCTCAGTGCAATACGTCATTTGATTTCCTGACTGCTGCTTCCGTGGGCGTTGATTGTGGATCCAAGTAAAATAAAATCCTTGACAACATCAATCTTTCCTCCATTTATCATGATACTGCTTATTGGTCCAGTTGTGAGGATTTTTGTTTTCTTTATGTTGAGGTGTAATCCGTACTGAGGGCTGTAGTCTTTGATCTTCATCAGTAAGTGCTTCAAGTCCTCTTCACTTTCACCCAGCAAGGTTGTGTCTTCTGCATGTTGCAGGTTGTTAATGAGTCTTCCTCCAATCCTGATGCCCCCTTCTTCTTCATATAGTCCAGCTTCTCGGATTATTTGCTTGGTTTTTATTTATAAAATTAATAATAGTTTGAGGAGTCCCTGGGTGACACAAATGGTTAAGCACTCAACTACTAACCAAAAGTTGGCAGTTCGAACCCACCCAGAGGTGCCTTGGAAGAAAGGCCTGGCTATCTGCTTCAGAAAGGTCACTACCTTGAAAACCCTATGTAGTGCAATTCTACTCCAACACACACAGGGTCACTGTGAGTTGAAACCGACTCGATGGCAACTGGCTTGGTTATTTTGGTTTTGGTTGTTAATAGTTTGCCCTTGAAATTTGTCCATACTTCATTCATCAGGTGTTGTTTGCGTACTTACTGTGGAGTCCCTGGGTGTTGCAAATTGTTAACACACTTGCTGTCAACCAAAAGGTTGGAGGTTTGAGTCCACCCAGAGGCATCTCTGAAGAAAGGCCTGGTGATCCACTTCTGAAAAGTCAGCCACTGAAAACCCTATGGAGCTCAGTTCTTCTCTGACACACATGGGGTCGCCATGAGTCAGAGCGGATTCAACAGCAACTAGTTTCTTTAGTGCATGTTAGCTACTCGCTATGAGTCGGAATTGACTCGACGGCAGTGGCTGGTTTGGGTTAACTACTGTTTGAGGTGCTGGGGATACAGGAGTGAAGAACAAGAACCTGTCCTCATTGCCTTCACCCTCTTGATGTTCATGAGAGGTAACTGTAGGTAGCTAAGAATGGAACTAATGTGGTTTATTTTGTATCTCCCCTTTAACTTCTCTTTCCCTCTGGAAAGAGGCCTGCTGTGGGTGGCCAGGCCACGATAGTCTAATTCCACCCCTGCCATGGAATCACTAAGCAACGGGCTGGGAAGCAGATCACTCGGGGTGTCTCATTCTGTGTTTTGTGAGGGTGTCAGCAGAAACGTTCTCTGTGTACAGGTGTGTGCCTCCAAGGTAACATCATCATAGATGACAACATAAAGTATAACAATTACCAGCGGTATATGAGGGGATCGTTGATTTTTGTCATTTAATTTATTTGGAAAACAGCTAATTGTTTTGGCTCATAGCCAAGGTGTAGTCATACCCACCCCAGGAGGCAGTTCCCCAATGAGGATGCCAAGAAGTCTTGGAGTGTAGGTGATGGAATATTGGAGAACCAGAATTTCCACACCTTGTCTGAGGTAGGTCTGATCCAACAGTCAGGATTAACTTCTCTTGGGGGCCCTGGACTAGAGAGAGGCTGGGGATAAATTCCTCACCTCAGCTGTCCACGTGTCTCACCTTCAGTTGATTATCGGGCAGGAGGACCGTCTCTTAAACTGTCCCTTCTGATCACTTCTGGAGATGGTGGGGAAAATAACGCTAAATAAGGGTGCCTCTTTGTTGTACCAGGCGCAATGCTATGTTTTTGTTTTAACGTGCACGGTTGTATTTCATTCTACTTGATCAACAATCAATGCCCATGGAAGCAGCAGTCAAGAAATCAAGTGATGCATTGCGTTGGGCAAATCTGCTGCAAAAGAGCTCTTTAAAGTCTTAACGGGCAAAGATGTCACTTTGAGGACTAAGGTGCATCTGACCAAGCCATGCTCTTTTCAGTCACCTCATATGCATGTGAAAGCCGGACATTGAAAAAGGAAGACCGAAGAAGAATTGACGCATTCAAATTGTGGTGTTGGCGAAGAATGTTGAATCTACCATGGACTGCCAAAAGAACGAACAAATCAGTCTTAGAAGAAGTACAGCCAGAACGCTCCTTTGAAGCGAGGATGGCAAGACTTCAGCTTGCTTACTTTGGACGCATCATCAGGAAAGACCAGTCACTAGAGAAGGACATCATAGTTGGAAAGTGGACGGTTGGCAAGGGCAGGGGAAGCCCTTCGTGAAATGGATTGACACGGTGGCCAAAATAATGGACTCCAGCATAGCAACAATCATAAAGATGGTGCACAATGAGGCAACGTTTTGCGCTGCTGTACACAAGGTCGCCATGAGTCAGAGCCGACTTGACAGCCGCTAGCAACATCAATACCGTTACATTTAAATCTCAGAAGAAGACAAGTTAAATAACTTAGCTAGTAATTGTATATATGGATATAAACCTGTCTTTGATTCTCGTTACCTCTGCTTTTTTCCATGATTGAGACTTCTCTGTCATTCTCCATTTACAAAATGGTATTTTGTTGTTCTTTTTAACGATCTACAATTCTTTGTGAAGTGTCAAATGTCTGTTCACTCATGAAAATAGGTCTTGGTTGGATACTGTTTTAGAGATTTTATGTTTTAATGGCTTTGGGGGCTAATGACATAAGATGCCCAGACTAGTTCATGAAAGCATCTGTTGACTTCAGTAATTGATTTCAAACTTGTTTAGAATTCTGCTTATGTGTTAAATTTGAGTTTCTGTAGTGAGTCTTTTTTTTGTCTTAGATGATTTATGTCTTTCTGGGGAATCATTTAGAATTTTTGTTTTTTTTAAACAAGTGGTCTTCATAAAGACCAGGGCAGACGGATATATATCACACGCACTCAAACATCTGGACCAGGGAACACAGTTCTGTTTGATGTTTCTTACCAAAACGGCACCATCAAGTACTAACAACTATTTTATTCTCATCTTAACATCATGTTTCAAATATTCCTTTCTTTGTTTTTCTTCCTAGGTTAGTGTTATTCGGCTTACTGGCACAGGCAGGAGAAGTTGATGTCCACACCCACAGACCCTGGCACGATGCCCCACCCAGGGCCTTCGCCGGGGCCCGGACCCTCCCCCGGACCAATTCTGGGACCTAGCCCCGGGCCAGGGCCATCCCCAGGTTCCGTCCACAATATGATGGGACCAAGTCCTGGACCTCCAAGTGTCTCGCACCCAATGCCGCCGATGGGGTCAGCTGACTTCCCGCAGGAAGCCATGCATCCGATGCACAAGGTGAAAATTTCTCCTCCCATTGGGTCTCTCCTGAACCACTGTTGTTGTTAGGTGCCTTCAAGTCTTCTCCAACTTATGGCCACCCCGTGTGTGCAGAATACAACTGTGCTCCATAGGGCTTGCAGGGCTGTGATCATTCAGAAGCAGATTGCCAGGCCTTTCTTCAGAGGCATCTCTGGGTGGATTTGAACTGACAACCTTTCAGCTAGTAGTCAAACACTAAACCCATAGATTGCTAATACTCCTGGTCAACCACCCCCACCTTTTATTTTTAAATATTATGAACAAGGATCGAGCTAGATCTTTGTCTTATCTTGTACATTATTAAAAGCACACATCTAGGGACTTTTATTGCTACAGATGTTGTCCCAACTGGGAAGATCAGATTCTGGCTTTTTAAACAGTGGTTAGAATATGAGTTCTGACAGGTAGATTCTGGGATTTGTGAGCTGGAGATATTTTAGCTTGGTGAATAAGTAAATTAGTGAATAAGTCTTCTTTTTTTTTTCCCCTCTCTGTGTTAATTCGTATCATCCACTAATGAACATACTGAAAATTATTCTTCCCTAGGAATGTCAACTTTTATGAAAAATTAGATGTTAATAAAGAGTAAAAGGAAAAAGAGTCTTTTTCTAAAGGGATTTTTTTTTTTTAAAGGCTTTTTTAGTTTGGGAGCTTAGCTGAAGCCTGTCCACCATGGGTGACCCTGCTGGTATTTGAATACCAGCGGGGTAGCTTCCAGCCAGCATCACAGCAACATGCACTCACACCAGTACGACAGACTGACAGATGCGTGGGGGGAAAAGGCTTTATGGAGATCAAATAGTTTCTAGGGATTCCTTAAAAGGCACTTGGTAGTTTCTGCATGAGGAAGCTTGATTCTGGTGTTGGGAAGGGGCTCTGGGTTGGCAGAACGCAGGTCAGCTGTTTGTTTCTGGACTCAGTTTATAATAATCCTGTTTATGAGCCCGGATTATGGCCGTGCGGTCGATGATATCAGTATAATTTAGCATCATGCCTTCGCAGGATATGCAAAGAAGAGAGAGCGACCTTTTGAGATAGTAAGCAAGATCCTCCGTGACAGTTTGCTTTGAAAATTAGCAGTAATCAAAGAGCAGCTCTAAGTCCATTGCACATTACCTGAAGGCTTTGCCTAAGAGGCAAATAGAGGTTTTCCACCCCCTGGGGGGTGCACACAGTTAAAGTGCTTGGCTGCTTCCCAGAAGGTTGGAGGTTTGGGTCCATCCAGAGGTGCCTCAGAAGAAAGGCCTGGTGATCTCCTTCTGAAAAATCAGCCATTGAAAACCCCATAGAGCACAGTTCTACTCTGACATACCTGAGGTTGCCATGAGTCGGAATCGACTAGATGGCAGCTGGTTTTGAGCGACACCACAGGTCGACAGGGTGGTGGGATGCATTTTCTCTAAAGTAGGTAAGTGGTGGAAGATGTGGGCTTAAAACAGAAAGTCAACCACGGAAAAAAAGCAAGTCCTTCCTTGAATTATGTAGACTTTACGTCGGTTTTAAGTCAAGGCTTCAGAGCCCATTTTTTGAAAAAGAAGTTTCTTTGTTTGATGATTCTCAAATCAGCAAAGTATTATATGGGCTGATAGTGAAAAGTGAAACAATACTAAGGTAAATAACCAGCCCAGCAGTTGCCCTCCAGGGGATCCCAACTCACCCCACGCGTGTCGGAGTAGAACTCTGCTCCATAGGGTTTTCAGGGGCTGATTTTTCAGAAGCAGATCCCAGGTCGTCCTTCCGAGGCACCTCTGGGTGGATTTGAACCTCCACCCTTTTAGTTAGCAGCCAAATGTGTTAACTGTTTGTACCTGCTAGGGACTAGGAAAGAGTTCATCCTAGCTTCACCCCAGGTAACCAATGTGAACAGTTTCCTGTAGATTTTTTTCACTCCTTACTTTTTTCTTGTTCAGTGAAAAAAAAAAAAAAAAGTACATGCATATATATGCATATACAGGTTAGATTTTTTTTTGCTTTTCTTTTACCATCACAGAATCGTATATCCCTATTAATTCCTTCCTGCTTTCATTTAATAATATATCATGGTTATCCCTGCAATATTCCCAGGTCCTCCCCCTTTCTTTCTTTTTTCTTTTTTTTTTTTTTAATCGATTTTTAGCTTGTCCAGTGTCTAGGGAAATAGAGCTGTTTGTTTTCCATATCATATTTTTCAGGGGATATACTGAGCATTTTGACATACTGAAGTCTTAGCTTGTCTTATGTGTATGTTGAAGAACAAATCAGTTCTAATTTGGGAGCTGTGTTAGATCTGATCTGTCACTTGTGAATTTTAGCGTGAGTGGCTCACATAATTTCAGAAGGATTTGAGGATGTCTTACCTCCAAAATGAAAGGTAAAATCTGAAGAAAATATTTAGCTAGTCCCCATTATTATTAAGGAGCCCTGGTGGCACGATGGTTAAGCGCTTGGCTGCTAACTGAAAGGTTGGCGGTTCAAACCCACACAGCAGCTCCGTGGGAGAAAGACCTGGTGATCTGCTTCCGTAACGATTACAGCCTAGGAAGCCCTACGGGGCAGTTCTGCTGCGTCACGTGGACTCGCTATGAGTCGATATCCACTCCCTGGCACCCAGCAACGTTATTATTTAAGCATTTAAATGAAGTGTCGGGTCGTTGTTAAGATTTTTGCACTGCATTTTTTTTGTTAGTATCACATCTGGTTCCTTTGATTTTGTTACCTAGCATCTTTGTAACCCCCAGCAGCGCTCCTCTCTGGGTTTTGTTTTATTCACATTCTGCAAGTTTTGCTTTTTTTACTGTTCTGTGTTTCCTTATGCCCAGCCCCTCAGCTCGTTCCCCACATGAGGAGATGGGCAGGCGCCTGGAGCTCACACCTGCTGACCAGATGCCTCCATTTTCTTAGATTCTTTTTATTCCTTCTCTTTCTCCTTCTTCTCCCTCTGAGATTCAGCTTTTTGCTTTCCGACATGACTGGAGATAAACAAGTGTCTTACACGCCTCTGCTGCTCCGCTTTGATTTCCTTCTATTATTACTATTTAACAGACATGGTGACGCTCTTTATGCCAGCTTCTTCCTGCTTTTCTTCTGAACATCCTCTTTAGGGTAAATTTTTCCTCTTTTCAAGCGCGTGCTTTTGACGCTGCAGAAATTAACTTTCTTTTCTCCAAAACTGCAAACACTCATACTTTCTTACTGGAAGTCATTTGGTTTCTATAAATTTCTGGAAATATTTCTTTCAGGCTTGTTTTGAAAAATTGCCACTCCAGTCTGAGGAGGAATAGACTTTTCCTTTTCTTCAAACACATGTTTGGTTGCCCAATTCTGGATTGGATTAACGTCAGTTCAATAGCTATCGTGTGCCCTCTTTGGTGCTAGGCCCCAAGTCCTGTTGCCAGCTCTCGTGTTCTTCTTTCTTTCCAAACTGTGCTTTTAACCTTTTTCAGTCTTCTTCCCTCTGTAATGCAGCTTTATCTGTCCTGCCCTCCTTCCCTCTCAGTGTTCACCCCCATTCACTGCTCTACCCTGTCTGTTCCTCTCTTTCCAACTGCCATGGAACCTTCTGGATCCAGCTTTTAAACTTTCCATAGTTCCTTCCTCTCTGATGGAAAAAATTACTAAAAAATAGATCATCGAAGACATTTCAAATAGTCTTCCTTCAGACTTCAGACTCGCTTCACTGTACAACAAATTTCAAGGCTTACTTACAACGGGTATGGAAGAATAGCTTGTCCACCTTTGTTTTTATTTGTAGGTGATGATATTACAAAAAAAAATTGAACTGTTTAACTAAAGCCTTAACCTCTGACTGGAATCAGTTGATGTCAACTGGTTTGGGTTTTTTGTTTGTTTTTTGGTAACCTCTGACTTACCAATAATTTTGCTTATCTTACAGGTGTGGGTACTTGTTGTTGTTATTAATTTGCCCTCACCTATGAGGTATAAAATGAGCCCCAGGGGTGCAGTGGTTAAGTGCTCGGCTGCTACCCGAGAGGTCTGCGTTTCAAACCCACCAGCCACTTCATGGAAGAAAGATGTGGCAGTCTGCTTCCCTAAAGATTACAGCCTTGGAAACCCTGTGGGGCAGTTCTACTCTGTCCTATAGGGTCACAATGAGTCGGAATCAACTTGATGGCAGTGGGTTTGGTTTTTTGGATGAGGTGTAAAAATATATGACTGTTTTATAGGTAATAAATTAATGTGCTATCCCTTTGAAAACATTAGGGAAGCATCTGAAAACTGTGGACAGTATTTTTACACAAATAACATACACCTTATATGTTTGTTTGCCAACCGCACCCTCCCCTGTGAGGTATTTTCATAAGTGTGCTATGCTAATTTTTTTTTTATAGCAGCATGTAAAAAGAAATTGGCATGGGGCACTTATGAAAATACCTTGCTGGGTGAGGGAGCGGTTGGCAAACATAAAAGGTGCACGTTATTTGTGTGAAAATACAGTAGTAGTAGCAATCCTGTGCCTTAACGAAGTGTCTGACTGGTGTCTTTACCTGTTCCAGCCCATTGATGGTATGCATGACAAGGGGATTGTAGAAGATATCCACTGTGGCTCCTTGAAGGGCACCGGGATGCGACCCCCGCACCCAGGAATGGGCCCTCCCCAGAGTCCGATGGATCAGCACAGCCAAGGTTTGTGTCGACTACACATCCGTTTTTGGTCCCACACTATAGTCTCTCCATCTTCCCTATGGGTTATTTTAATTATGACTTCCAAAGAAAGCATGTAAGGAAGGTTGGATCCAGCAGGGTTTTTCTTATCCATAGAAATCTCCGCCGTCCTATCAATACAAATTTATAGATATATATGGGCAAATTATTTCCAAAACCTTGGTAGTTTGACAGGCCACCATGTGTCCAGGCACTCTGCTAAGTGGTTTATGGACTTCATCCATAATCTTTGTCATCACCTGGTAAGTAAATCACATTCGTTGTTGTTGCTAGTTGCGTTGAATCGGCCCTGACTCATGGCAACCTCATGTACGGCATACCGAAATGTTGCCCAGTCCTGCGCCGTCTTCCTGATTGTTGGCATGTTTGAATCCATTGTTGCGGCCACTGTGTATTTTGAGTGCCTTCTGACCTAGGGGCTCATCTTCCAGCAGTATATTGGGCAATGTTCTGTTGTGATCTGTTGGCTAATTTTTGTAAGTAGATCTCCAGGCCTTTCTTCCTAGTCTGTCTTAGTCTGGCAACTCCATGAAAACTTGTCCACTTTGGGTGACCCTGCTGGTATTTGAAATACCGGTGGCCTAGCTTCCAGCATCGCAGCAACACACAGGCCCGCACAGGACGACAAATTGATAGACGGTTGGTAGAAATGACATTACCCCAATGTAATAGGTGGGGTGGGGGTGGGGTGCAAAGCCTAGAGAATGGCCTTCATTTCCTTAATTTGACAAATCCTGTAAGTGACAGGGCCAGAAATAGAGTCCAGGTCTACCTTCCAGTGACAGCATAGATGTGGAGGTAAGATGAGCCGCCTGTGTCCCTCAAATTGCATTGTATGTAAGGTGGCTTTTTCTGGCAGTTGGAATCACCTGTCAGTGCTGGTGGGTGGCCAAATCAGTATGTGATACATCTCGGCTCCTTTCTGCCTTACTTAAGCGTGTTCTCCTCCCTTCACCCACTGTTGAAGGCATTTTAGGATACCGCAGAGCCTTTTGAATACACTGTGAGCTGTTTTTGGAATCCTCCTGTGGCCATTTCAACATGCGAATGTCATGGTTAATCTAGTATTAATTGACATGACTGCATAGATATTCTAATTCGAGGCTTATGGTTTATGTGTTGCTATCTATAAAACCAATCGTCACTAAGTCACCTCCGACTTACGGTGACCTCACGTGTGGCAGAGGAGAACTGTGCTCCATAGGGTTTTCAGGGGCTGATGTTTTTGGAAGTAAGTGGCCAGGCCTTTCTTCCCAGGTGCCTCTGAGTAGGCTTGAACCACCAACCTTTCACTTAGCAGCTGAGGACGTTAATGGTTTTCTGTATATACTCTTGTGTAATTTAATGGATTTTTTTTTTCCTCAATCCATTCATCTGGGGGAGGATTTGACTATGAGGATTTAGAGACGTGTATTCAGAATTATTTCCCTTTTGAAATAGAAACAGGCGAGAGGCATTGGAATGCCTTTCCACTAATATTTGAGCAGGTTTTTGAACGTCCCAGACTTTGAAATGAATTTTGGCGTCAGGCACGGAGAAGTGCTGCCGATGACTCATAGACTCTTGACCGTGTTCAAAAGCAGGCTGAAGCATCGGGACTTAGGGCAGCACAAGAAGAAAAAATTGACCCATTCAGGGTTAAGAATATCCAAGTTTATCATTTAAATCCTACGGGGCCAGGTGTGCTCACAGAGCTAATGTAGATTTCATTTTAATCCCTGGGAGGTGTGGATGAGTTATAGTCAGTGTTTTTCGAAGCCAGGTGCTCCCTACCCTAGTGTGGTATTCCAGTACCGCTAGAAATGGAACGCTAGGAAAACCACAAAACAAAATACCTGGGATGCCTGCATCATTGTTGAGGGCATTCTTCTATAGCTTTTGAAATTTCTCTCATCACATGGCTCTGTCCTTTAACTTAAGAATGATGTCTCATTTATCTATGGATCTCCAACATTTGGCACGATATCTAGCACCTGACTGGGCAGAGACTCCATAAATTTCATCCAATTAGAGAGAGAGGTGAACTTGTTCATTCACAAGTCAATTGTTTTTAAATCCATCTTCATTTTCATATCTCAGCGAGTTATAATTGCTGTGAAATGCAAAGGACTGCATTAAATGGAATCAGAATTAACATACGTAATTTTTTTTTCCCTTAAAATAGTAGAAGTGCATTGTTGGTTTGAGAATGGGTTATTTAAAAGTGTATTTTTGAATAATGCAGTGTTGGTATAATGCCGTCTGATTCTATATAATGATCTAAAGAGAATTTAGATTGTATAATAGCATGTAGCTTTAAAAACTCCGCTGTAGGAAGCCATTTATAAACACACAGGTACAGAGAGTGTGGTATTGATCAAGAGGCTGCCAGCTTTTACTACCCAGCAACCTATTAGGTTATTTTAGGGGATTGGTTGAGAAGCAAAACCATTTCCTTCAATAAATACGGAAGTGTGTACCTTATGGTCCCGATGATAACATTGTTTATTTTTAGCCCACTGAATGGAAGAAGCCTTCAAAGGCAGGTGTATAATATTTAAGGTTTGTATGTGTGTGTGTGAAGAGAAAATTCACAGAAAATTGGCACTCACATGTTCAAGATTAGTAAAAGGAGAGAGGTTATTGCTTCTCTCTGAGGCAAGGTGAAATGGGGGAGATAATAGCCCTAGAAGACTAGAGAAGGAGAACTGCCATTTTTGACTACTTTTGAATGAAGAAGTCACTTAAAAAAGCAGAGTCTACAGCCACGCTGTCATCCCAGAGACAAATGTAGATTCACTCCCAGTTTCTTCTCCCTGTTTTTTTAGGGAAAGATAATTACCAAAATATGTAATGTTATTTCATCACGTAGATTCTGTTTTTCCTCAAGTCTTTATGGAATAGTCATGGAGAGAAAAACTCTGTAGCCGAGACACTGTCACATTGTTAACTCAGACTGTGACAGAATGGTTCTGTTATTATCCCCTGTAAATTCTGGGAAATAATTTTGCCCACCCCCCAGATTCCTTTTATCAAATTTGAAGTTTGATTTTGTTGTATTGATTAATTCTGAGAAATGATTTTTATTCCACTCTCAGTTTCTTTCTTACCAAATTCGAGGTATAAATTTTTTAATGCTGATTTTCAGGCGACCAAGTTCTCTTTTCAGGGTTTGAATGATTGTGCGTGATGGAACTGCCTCACCTTCAGAACTGGGCACTGCTCCTTGTTCATTGTTTAAAAGAGTGATTTGTTAAACACTGTTGTACAGTTGAGTGTAGACGGAGCTGCTAGTCGGGTGATTTTGTGTGGACCCGGCATCGCTGAAGTCTTTGGTCCATGTAATAGACATCCTGTGATTTCCCAGGGGTAAGCTGTGACGGAGGAGGCCCTGGGGGGCAGGGTCTCTATGGGTCGGAATCCACTCGACAGCAACGGGTTTTGGTGGCACTTACAGTTAAGCAAGTGCCCAACTACTAGCCAAAAGTTTGGCAGTTCGAACCCGCCCAGAGGCGCCTCGGAAGATAGCACCTCGCGATCTGCTTCCGAGAGGTCACAGCCTTGGAATCCTTGTGGAGCAGTTCTACTCTGCACACCTGGGATCTCCACGAGTTGGAACTGACTGAATGGTAACCAACAATGACAACCAAGGTGTAATCGGAGACCTTAGGAAACAGAAGAGACTGGGAGAAAGGATACCCACGATCCATTTTAACCCCTGAAGGTGTCCCTTCTACTATGAAAATGTCCCACCACCTGTCTGTCAGTCTGTCCCACTGTGGTGAGTTGCTTGTTGCCATGATGCTGGAATCTGTGCCACCAGGATTTCAAATACCAGTAAGGTCACCCATGGTGGGCAGGTTTCAGTGGAGTTTCCGGACTAAGACAGGCTAGGAAGAAGGACCTGGCTATCTGCTTCTGAAAATTAGCCAAAGAAAACCCTTTGGATCACAACAGAATGTTATCTCATATAGTTCTGGAAGATGAGCCCCCTAGATCGGAAGACACTCAAAATACACGATGGCTGCAACCATGGATTGGAACATACCAACGGTCGTGAAGATGGTGCAGGACCGGGCAACATTTGTTCTTTTGTACATAGGGTCACCCGAGTCAGAGCTGACTTACAGCACCTAACAACAGCTGTCATGGAGTTCTAGTCAGGAGGAACATTAGCAGATATATAATAAACACCCATGTGATGACCTTTATGATAATTGTGACATGTACATTGATTAAAGGGCTGCTGTGGTTGTTAGCTGCCATTGAGTTGGCCCCTGACTCATGGCAGCCTGGTCCTGGGCCATCCCTATGATCAGTTGCATATTGGCCTGTTGTGATCCACAGTGTTTCAATGCTGATTTTTCAGAAGTAGATCGCCAGGCCTTTCTTCCTAGTCATCTTAGTCTGAAAGCTCCACTGAAACTCGTTGAATATCATAGCAACAAAGGCAAAGACCTTTCAATCTCTCTATATATTATGGTGTATTTTCAGACATCTCTGACTGGTGAATGAGCACTTAGTTGGATTCAGTGCAACCCTTTTGGAAGGCTGCGTGTCACCCCATTCTCTCCTTCATCTTGGATCTCCCTCAACGACGCTCAGTCGTAGGTTTTTCTAGGAATTCTTTGGCCAGGCTGTACAGTTCATCTTCTGAAATGAGTTTCGTGAGATTTTTGTGCATTTTGATTCTTCTTCCTCAAGAAAGTGTTCTTAAACTTCCCCCTTAAATCTCTTATAACCCAAACAGATCACTTTCCTTTTTATGGTAAATTGTAAGTAGTTCTATGGAGCCCTAGTAGCCCAGTATTTAAAGCACTGGGCTGCTGACCGGAAGGTCGGCAGTTCAAACCCCCTGGTCGCTCCACTGGACAGAAGAGCTGGTGATCTGCTCCCATAAAGATTATGGAATGGAAAACCCTATGGGGCAGGCTTATGCTGTCATGTGGTGTCACTGTGAGTCGGAATCGCCTCGATGGCACACAACAACGACAACAAAATCGTTCTGGAAGATTTTTGCAACTCTGAAGTCTTTAACTTATGTTTATATAACCGGGTTTATGCTAGACGATGGAAGGAGCATGTGCATTGCAATCAGACAGACTTGCTTTGAATCTTGGAGCAGCCTCGTTCTAACTGTGTGGCCCAGGGCAGCATGCTTATTCTCTGAACCCCAGTTTCTTCATTTTAAAGTTGAAGTAACAATACATACCTTCTGGGCTTGCTGTGAGGATTGAAGAAATAACCTATGCTCCGCCTGTGCCCCCTTGGGTCCCCTTTACCTTTTTTGTGCTCCTACCAGCTGGGTGTGCACTGGCCAGAGCCACCATCTTGCCAGGGGGTCCTGGCACCCACCCCCCTTATGCACACATGGAAATGGCCCTGGGGACAAATGCTCCCCAGGGCATTTGTCATAACCAGTGACAATCTAGCTTCCGATGATTGTAAAAGTATAAATATCCAGCTTCTTCACCCCTTCCCTGGGATAACAATCTTCAAGCCCCCACTGCAGCAGCTGGCTTAACAACACGTCCCTTAGCGGCTGCCTTCTCTTCCATCTCTCTCCTTTCCCCGTGTATGCCAGTGTCTCTCACCCAAAACCAAACCTATTGCCAACTCTTGGCGACCTCGTGTGGTACAGAGTAATGCCACCCCTTAGGGTTTTCTTGGCTGTAGTATTTATGGAAGCAGACTGCCAGGTCTTTCTATCGTGGTGGTGCTGGGTGGGTTCAAAGTGTCAACCTTTAGGTTAGTAGATAAGCACAAACCATTTGTACCACTCAGAAACCTACATGCCATTGTCCCTACATCTCCCAATAAATACCCTGCACTCAATCCTCGGCTCTGGCTCTGCGTCTGGAGAGAAATCCACTAAGATGGTACATACAGCGCTTTGCACAGTGATTGCAAAAGTGCTGCGGTGGTTGTTAGGTGCCGTCAAGTCAGCTCTGACTCATCGCGGCCCTCTGTACAACAGAAGGGAGCTTTGCCTGGTCCTGCGCCCTCCTCACAATCATAGGTATGTTTGAGCCCGTTCTTGCAGCCAGCGTGCCAGTCCATCTCATTTTTGCTGACAGCGTAGACCCTTGATAAATGTGAATTATTCCTAATGTGCATAAAAGTAAACCAGACAATATTTGGTGTCCCGATCAAAGCCTCGTCATTCTCCGCTGAGCTATGTTAGACTTCTGGTTTTGTTCTCCAGGTCGGAGCTACTTTAAATGTCTCTTGCTTGCCCCTGAAGCCTTTTTCTTAGCGTATAACAACCACAAACGGTTTGCCTTCTAGGACACGTGGCTATGTGAAAGGTGGCTAGTTTGAAGTGTAATGTGTCGTCAGTGTAAAATGCTGGATTTTGAAGACTAAGCACGATAAAAAGAGTATAAAATACCTCATTAATAACTTTCATATGTTGGGATTATAATATTTTATGTATTTTGTTGTTGTTGAGACCATACACAGCAAAACATACCCCAGTTCACCCATTTCTCCATGTGCAGTTCAGTGACATTGATCACATTCTTCGCGTTGTGCAACCATTCTCACCCTCCCTTTCTGAGTTGTTCCTCCCTCGTTAACATAAACTCACTGCCCCCTAAGCTTCCTATCTAATCTTTACAGTTGCTGTTGTCACTTTGATCCCGTACAGACAGACATTTTTTACTAGTTAACCTAGGCTGTTGTTTGGTGTTAAGAAGACTTCAGGGGATATTTTTGGTTTAAGGTTTAAAGATTTTCTCAGGGCAGTAATTTCAGGGATTCATCCAGCCTCCATGGCTCCAAAAAGTCTGGATTCCAGGAGAATTTGAAATTCTATTCTGCATTTCCCCCCTTTTGATCAGGATTCTTCTATAGACTCTTTGCTCAAACTGTAGTAATGGTAGCCGGGCGCCATCCAGTTCTTCTGGTCTCATGGCGAACGAGGCAGTTGTTCATGGGGGCAGTTAGCCACACCTTTCATATCCTCCTCCTATTCCTGACTCTTCTTCTTCCTCTGTTGCTCCAGGTGACCAGAGACTGATTGCTGTGCTTTGGATGGCTGCTGTAAGCTTTTAAGACCCCAGGCACTACACAACTAACTAGAACTAGAGATGGATTATGATATTTTGAATACATTGGGTTAAATGTATTATTTCATTCTGTTAAACATAAGGTTGCCATGAGTCAGAGTCAACTTGATGGCAGCTAACAAAAACCACAAGAATTAAAATTAGTTTTACCGTTTCTTTTACTTTTTTAATGTGACTACTAAAAAAAAAAAAAAAAGCTATTGCCATCAGGTTGATTCCAACTCACGGTGACCCCATGTGTTACAGAGTGGAACTGCTCCATAGGGTTTTCTTGGCAGTACTCTTTACGGAAGCAGATCACCAGGCCTTTCTTCTGCAGCACCACTGGGTGAGTTCGAACCACCAACCTTTAGGTTAGTAGCCAAGAGCAAACTGTTTTCACCACCCAAGGACCTCTTCTGTGGCTACTAGGAAATTGATGATTGCGTATATGGCTCACATTCTGTCTCTGCTGCGCAGTGCTGTTCTAGAGAATTATCAGAATTCTCGGGAATGCCTGCCAGGCCGTGGAAGCAGCCTGTAATCTCCTTTTTTGTTCCCTTTTAGGTTATATGTCTCCGCACCCATCTCCACTGGGAGCCCCAGAGCATGTATCCAGCCCTATATCTGGCGGAGGCCCAACACCGCCCCAGATGCCGCCGAGCCAGCCGGGGCCCCTCATCCCGGGCGATCCGCAGGCCATGAGCCAGCCCAGCAGAGGCCCCTCGCCTTTCAGTCCTGTCCAGCTGCACCAGCTTCGAGCTCAGATTTTAGCTTACAAGATGCTGGCCCGGGGCCAGCCCCTCCCCGAAACACTGCAGCTCGCAGTCCAGGGGAAAAGGACGTTGCCTGGCATGCAACAACAACAGCAGCAGCCGCAGCCCCAGCCTCAGCCCCAGCCGCAGCCCCAGCCGCAGCCCCAGCAGCCAGCCCTCGTTAACTACAGCAGACCAGCTGGTAGGTTAATATGCAGCCAAACAAACGATGCAGTGGTCCGTCTCGGATAAGAAGGGCTGCTGACTGCAGGGGAACACTGGGTTGGGATCAGCCCGGGGCCGACTTGCCCTTTGCTTGTACTGCCCTTATATCCTTTTCTGCAACTGTTGCTCCAGGTTGATGGCCAGGATTCTCAGTCTCCTCCCGCTATAGAGTCCTAGAACAATGTTTCACAACCTTTTGAGACCAGTGCAAGCTGAGGACCTAGGGAAAAAGCACCACCCCCCACGATTTTGCATTCTCTTTCAAAAGGTTCACGGTTTCTTGGAAGGCTGTCCACAGACCCCAGGTTAAGAGTCCCTGCCCCCAGTGCATTCCATCGCCAAAACCCGCTCCTCGAACCAGCCCTGCTCTGGCCCTTTTATGTTGGTTGATTGATTTCTTCCTCTTTTTGTTGTGAAAAGCATTTGGGCAGGCTGACAGGAGGCATACCTGCAGAAGAATAATCATAAAATAGGAAATCGGAAGCAAGGGGAAATATGAAAATCAGTAAGGAGTCGAGAACAGGAAGTCAGGAACTTGGGGCCACAAGAGCGCGCGTAGCTGCTGTAGTTGGGCTTCAAAGATCCTCGTTTCCTGGAAGTCAGTTGCCGTCAAGTCCATTCCGACTCACAGCAAAACCATGTGTGTCAGAGTAGAACTGCGCCCCATAGGGTTTTCAATGGCTGTGATCTTTTGGAATTAGATAGCCAGAACTTTCTTCCAAGGCACCTCTGGGTGGACTCAAACTTCCAGCCTTTTGGTTAGCAGCCAAGCACATTAACCATTTGTCCCACGCTGGGATTCCTGGAAGTCAGAACCAGGAGACAGGGTCCAGTACCAAATTCTCGCCATCTGAAAGGAAGTTGCCTACCAGTCTCTCAGAGATGGAACGCCTTTCCTTCCATGAGTGTGTAAAGTAGATTTCCCAGGTGGGATCATTTTTTGAAATCCTAGTGATGGTGATGATAATGACGGTAACAGGCAATGCACAATTGTTGTTGTGTGCCGTCAGGTCGATTCTGACTCACAGCGACCCTACAGGACAGAGTAGAGCTGCCCCGTAGGGTTTTCAAGGAGCGGCTGGTAGATTCAAACTGCCAGCCTTTTGGTTAGCAGCCTGAGCTCTTAACCACTTCGCTGCCAGGGCTCCACAATGCACAATAGAGGCATTAATAACATTTGTTCATAATAAATAGAGGAACAGATCCCACGTGGCTGATTTCTTACAGTGCCCTGGGACCAAATTGGAAGCTACGACACCATGCAGGGAGTCGATTTGATGTAGTCTTCCTGTGTGGCCTTCTGATGTTCTGCTTGATCCCAGTAGGGTGATCTTCATGAACGTTGTTTCCTTAGGAAGGTTTTTGTTAAGAACTGGATAAGCAGAGAGTTTATGGTTCTGCCCTGATGGGAGCCAGAAGGCAGTGCTTTCTGGACGCTGACCCATTTGCTGTGAATGGTTCCCACCAGTTGGGGCAAGCCTGGCCATGCCGATCACTGCAAACCATTCCTTTGAGATATTGGTGCTTTTCCTAGACTTGGAACTTGTTAGGTGCTGTCCAGTTAATTCAACTCATAGCGACCTCATGTGACAAAGCCCCATAGGGTTTTCTAGGCTGTAATCTTTATGGGAGATTACCAGGTCTTTCTCCTGCAGAGCCACTGGTGGGTTTGAACTGCCAACCTTTGGGCTGGCAGCCGAGCACTTAACCCACTTCACCACTGGGGATCTGCTCAGCATATAACCAGGAGAGAGAAAAAAAAAGAACCCATTACAGCCGAGTCCATTCTGACTCATTGCAACCCTACAGGACAGGGTAGAACTGCCCCTTAGAGTTTCTGAGGAGCGGCTGGTAGATTCGACCTGCCAACCTTTTGGTTAACAGCCATCGTTCTTAACCACTACGCCACCTCCCAGCACATAGGGAGTACTCACTGGAAGGGTTTCAAGTGCAGGCATACTGGCAGCAGCTGGGTAGCTGGTAGCTTGATGAGAAAGAGGGAGCAAAAAGTGCATTTCCCAAAAGGTAGCGCTCCAGGACCTTGTCATAGAGGCATGAGTCAGGGGTGTCACCTCATCACAGACCTCTGCAAGCATTGATAGTTTTAAAAATGACCTAGCTCTGTAGGCAGAGAGTCCACAGTCTCATCTGAGAAGGCAGGAAGCTGAGTGGTTCCTTTGAGAAACCTTTTCAGGCCGATCAAAGTAGTAAAATTAAAAGAACGAAGTTTTAGTTATCTGGACGCTTACACGTAATAAATGCTTCATATCCTCGTAAATGCAATCCCGAGTGCATTTTCTGGACCCTTTCCAGAAGAGATGGCTTCATTTTCTCATCAGTCCAGTACCTACATCTTTACTCATTAAGTCCCTGTCCTTAGAGGGAATTCATTTTATTACTTACTGATTGTATCTGTTGTATTTCCAGCAAAAGGCTTTATTAGAAAATGAAGCTATTTGGGGGTTGAGGACTTTATGGGAGAGTGGGCTGTAGAATTTCAGGTCCCTGGCTGGCTCAGTTTGTGCTACTAACCTAAAGGTTGGTGGTTCAAACCCACCCAGTGGTACCATGAAAGAAAAATCTGGCAATCTTCTTCTATAAATATCACAGCCAAGAAAACCCTCTGGGGCAGTTCTACTCTGTCACATGCAGTCGACGTGAGTTGGGGCCGTCTCGCTGGCAACAGGCTTGCTTTTTAAGACTTGTGTATGTCAGTATTTGTCTCCCTGTTTCTTAAAATCAGGCAGAGCAGTGCCGCCAGTGAGACCCCCTGAGCTGAGCTGGGGCTCACCTGGGAAGTACCGGGGCAGATAACTACCTCGACCCCTAAGATGAAGACGGAAGGTGAAGCAGAAGGTGTTTTTTGTACCTCTGACCATCAAGGCTAAACTGTTTATGTCTGAGAGGGAGTCGGAGCTAAGCGGAAGAATGTAATTTGTCTTCCGTTTGAAGCTACCAGGGGAAGGTCTTATCGTTTAGCAGACCTCGAGTGTCTGGTGGAAGGGAGATGATTCCTGTCGATAGTCAGGCAGATGAACACTATGGCCGCCTGCGGGAGCAGCATCAGACCTAACGGATAGGTAGTTACATTCTGGCCGTGCCTAATCGTGACAAGTCACGTTCAGCTCCCTACACCAAAAACCTGTTGCCATCGAGCTGAGTCCGACTCATAGTGACCCTGCAGGACAGAGAAGAACTGCCCCATAGGGTTTCCAAGGCTGTAATCTTTACAGAAGCAGCCTGCCACATCTTTGTCCCGCAGAGCGGCTGGTGGGTTCAAACTGCTGACCTTTCGGTTAGCAGCTGAGCGCCTAACCACGCTGCACCACCAGGGTTCCTACATCTGCAATTAAAAAAAACAAAAACCCGTTGTCATCGAGTCAATTCCAATTCGTAGCAACCCTATAGGACAGAGTTCAGCTGCCCCATAGGGTTTCCAAGGAGCAACTGGTGGATTTGGACTGCCATCCTTTTGGTTAGCAGCCAAGCTCTTAACCACTGCACCACCAGGGCTCCTACAATACCTACATGATATTTTTCATCAACCCCTAGAACCAGAGTTACAGATTTCTCGAGAAGAATCCAGAAGGAGGGGGAAAAAAAAGAACAATGATAATACCCCCACCCACACCACACACACACACACACACACACACACACACACACACACACACACACACACACACACACACACACGCATTTCCTAAGCAGTTTGTTCTAATTCTTCACATGCCCCGTCACATTTGCATATATCTCCCTTTGCGTTGTCATTTCAGCCCATTTGTAAATGGTGCTCGTTGGAAATTGAATAAGTGTGTCCAAATTTTCTTAATGTATCTGACAAATAGACTATTATTTTCATACCATTTAATAACTTTAATTTTTCCTGGGAAGGATATGGAAAAATACTTGGAAGGAAGCCTGTTGGTGGTTAAAACATCTGCTTACTGAGATTCTGTAATTTTTATTTACTAACTCATCCAGTAGCGTCACAAAGCTTATTAATTATGTTCAAGTAGGTAAAAATTTCACCAAGAAAGAGAAATAGAACACTTCTTTTTTTGGTCTATACCTAGGAATTAATTTACGCTCCTGAAGTTGAATGTGGAAAATTATTTTACGTTAATTTGTTAAATGCGTTTTAATAAGCTTGGTGATTGCGTGTCCCTTTATTCTGATATCGTAAGAAAAATGCTCTCTTGAATCTTAGTAATTGCTTGTTTTTGTTAGCTGCAAGGAGCACTTTTTTCCCTACACTGAATGTTTTTAGGAATATATCTTAATACTTAGTAAAAAAAAAAAAAAAGAAGTTTCCAAGATTCACTGATCAAGCCTGCAATATGCTATATAAGTCATTAGCCAGAAGACTGTGTGCTCCTTTTGGTTCACACCACAGGACTGGCATCTCCCACCATATTTGTGAAGCCTCATTTTCCACCGCGCCGCTCTCCTGATTGCGATGGACAGAGGGATCAGAGATGCCTAAAGTGGCTTGTGGTGCCATTTGCAAAATGTGATTTTAGGACCACACCCAAATTGCATCTCACTTTTATGTGACTCCTGACTTTTTTTTTTTTTGTACTTTAGATGAAGGTTTACAGAACAAATAGTTTCTCATTAAACAGTTAGTACACATATTGTTTTATGACATT